GACAAGAAAAAGACATTCCTGTTTGGTTGGGAGATGTGTTCTTGTGTTTCGTCAACGTTAACCGACTATTGATGCGCTCTCTCTCTCTCTCTCTCTCACTTCTTTTACTTTGCCTTTTTTTTAGCTGTCAAAATATTATTGGTTCGGTTTACACAGACCTTGGATTAATATTTATTTTCAATCAATTAAAGGTATATTTGGGTTAATTTATAAAAGTTTTTATTTTTTTTATTATTTATGAATGATAAATTTAAATTTGTATTTGAAAAAAAAATTTAAAAATTATTTTTAGAGATAAAAGAAATGAATAAAAAGGAAGTTTATTAAAAATTTAAATATTTATAAAAAAATTTTAGTTAATAATTATTAAGATCATATTGAAATATTAGTATAAATATTTTTAGTTTAACTATTAAAAATATTTAATAATTAAATTAATATTTATTGTTTTAAATTTAAAATTAACATTTAAAATAATAGTATCATGTGCTTTAATTAGTTATAAATTGATGAAATTAGATGAACCAAACACGCCTATATATTTTTTTTGTTTGACCATAACCATGACCCTTTCATCCTAGTTAAATGGTTTTTTTTTAATTAATTTTTAATTTTTTTACTTGAATTTAATTTCATTCTTAAAAGGAAAAAATATTAAAACTGTACAAATTACTAGGAGTACATTTTTGCTGTTCTGCATTAAATGAAAAAGTAGTTTATGAAAGAACAATCCTACATTTAGGGGTTCTACTGCATCAATAATTAATTTTATATAACTTTTTTTTTTCTTTACACAAAACTTTTTTAATTTTAATTAAAAAAAAAAAACACTAAGAAAGACGATTAACTATCTAGATTTAAAACTGTTAACTCAATGATGGAATATAGGAGGCTTTTTAGTCCTTAGAATAGAGATTTACAGGTAGCAACTTAAGTGCAATTACTATTAATATATATTAGTATAGGTGTTATATTAATTCTCAGTTACTCATTTTAAAACTTTAATAATTGATACAATAATTAAAAATTTAAAATAATATCTTAAATTTATATAAAAGTCTTTTACAGTTACATCAGTATGAATTTATTTGTACTCACCTATCTTATATATCTGGACATTAATTTCTTTTGAATTCTAGTACTTTAAAAATGAATTGACTTTTCATGTTCTCCTCATGTTTTTTTTTTTTTTTAACATTTTAACATGGGACGGATTCGAAAGGAAAAATGCATATATTCAATGACTAATGCTATTGGACCTCTAGGGTCAAATGCTCCTCATGTATTAATTATCAAACCAATGCTTATGCTTTCTAAGCAAATTAAAATAGAAGTTTCTTATTTTAAATTAAGATCATAAAATATAAATTATTGAAAAGCAAAATATCTCTTATTTAATAATTTAATTGGTAGAATCTAAATTGTAAGAGATTTTTGTAATATTTTAATAGCCACATAATTTTTTTTAAAATATAAATTAAGGGTGCATTTATTATATATGTTTATTAATAATTTACATAAATATTAAAAATTTATTTTAATTTTATCAATTATCTAATTAAATTAATTTACGTAATGTTTATATTAAAAATAAAATTTTTATCTATAATATTTTTATATAAATTAATAATAAAAAATATAATAAGCATATTTTTATCTTATCGAATTTTTTACCTTGTGCCCTTAGGACACAAGTTAAGCCTTATTTATTGTAGCATCTGTCATTAATGTTATACAAATTTTTATATAATATTTAAATAAAATATAATATAATATATAAAAATATAATATAATATTTTACCTCAAAATCTATAAAAAGTTATAAACCTAATATAAAAATTTATATAAAATTAATTAATGAATATCTAATCAATGAATTTTAACCTATACCTTTAAAATATAGGTTAAACAAACATTTATCTTATTTATTCTCAAACATACAAACATAAATTAGAAAAATGCTTATATCTTTTTGTAAAGAGAATTCTTTATTGACTTAATTCAATAATTGGTCTATTAACTATTAACCTCATTTTATTTTAGTTTAAAAAGTTAGTTTTCTTTTTGTATAGTCTATAAATTTTGTAAAATATTTCAGAATAGTCCACTTAATAAAAATTCTATTAGTTTTAACAAAAAAAAAAACCAAAAAAGTTAAATCAAAATCAAAATAGAATAGTTCAGTCAATAACATAGATAACAGTAAATTGTATCAGTTATTAAAACATATTAATAATTATAAGTTTTGCTACAAAGAAGAATTGTCTAAAGGAAAAACTAAAGTAATATGTGATAAAAGCTACAGTTTTTCAAAAAGTTAAAAAAAAAATGACTTATCATCTTTACAAATTAGTTTTATTTCAAAATTAATTTTAAAAAGTAAAGATTCACGAAAAATTTAGTTGAAAATCAATTTGATCAAATGAAGTGAAACTGTTAGTAAAAATTTAATAGATTAAAGTAAATTGAAATAAAAGTAAAAAATAATAAATGAATATGAAAAAAGTTAAAAATAATAAATAAAATACAAAAAATACTAAATTATTTATTAAATTAACCCATTCTTTATCTATCATGTAAATGGAAATGCTACGGGGGGGTTGGGACCCTTGGAGAATGTGAGGGACACAAAATTCCAATGAGCAGCCATTTTTAGAAATTTGAGTACATGTCCATTCTAGTTCTAGATACTACTCCTAATGGTAGTTTGTTAGTAAAATGTGCTTGGGAAGGAAACAAAACATGACCCAAAGCAAAGGCACGCTAAGCACGAGTAAATGGGAATGAGCAAACTGTCAGTGAGATGGCCTCAGCATGGGCCGACATCAAAATGGCGGGGTCCACACCGCGGCGACGAAATAGAGAACTGGGCCCAACTCGGTGACCATAAATAAATATAGTCTTTAAATAATTCCGTTGTTGCTGCTGCTGCCACCTTCACAGCTTTTCTAGAATGTTTTTTTTCTTCTTTTTTTGTTTGAACAGATTTTACAAGTGGGGTTCAGAGGGAGAAGTGCATCGTAGGTGGCTATTGCCACTTAACCGAAAGGGCTCAGTGTTTCTAGAATGTTTTTTTAGTTTTTTTTTTTTAATTGAGAAATGAGAAAATTAGATGTATTATCAATAAAGATATTAAAATATTTAATCATAATTATTAAATATATAAAATATAATATAAATTTTAATTTTATTAAATTTTTTATGTGATAACTATTAAACATTTTAATATTTTAATATCAGAACGTTTTGGATTTTTTTTAATTTATGTTTTTAAAGTTTAAAAATGTATTAATTATATTTTTATTAAATATTATAAAAAAATTACAAGTTAATTTTATATGTTTCATATAAATTAATAAAAAAAATACAATTAATATAATTTTAATGTGCATTTTAATGTATAAATTAAACAAATTCTTATTTATAATGATTTTATTAATTTTCACTTTTATTATATAAGTTACGAATATATTTATTATTTTTTTAGTAATTAATTTGTACAAAAATATAAATATTTACTTTAACTTTTTAAATTGAATAATTAAAATTATTTATGTAGTAATAATAAAATAAATATTATATTTTATACTTTTTTAAAATAAATTAATTAAAAAATTATATATTATACCCTTAAATAAATAAATGGCTTTTATACTACTAAAACAAAGAAAAATATTCAATGGCGCACTGGGGTAAAAGTGTATTTTTAACCATTTACCTTATTAGATTTGTAAATTTTAATCCCTCATTTTTTGTTATGATACTTTTAGCCTCTTATCTATTAAAATTGAAGAAAATAATCATCACTTATAATATTTTATTAGTTCTGTTAGTTGACTATTAACTTGATTAGTTGACTATTAACTCTATTAATTGATTATTAATTGATAAAAACTTACTTTTAACTAATAAAATTAATAATCAGTTAACAAAATTAAAAAAATATTATTAAGTGAGATCTATTTTCTTAAATTCTAACAAGTGAAAGGTTAAAATATCATAATATAAAGTAATGAGCTAAATCCTACAAACCAAATAAGAAAATGCGCTAAAAGTAAGTTTTTACCCTTTTGTATGACCCATATGGTTTTTCTGTTTCCACTCCCACCATATGGAGCGAGTGGGAGGTGTCTGTGTGTTTGAACTAAGCTCACGCCCTTTTTCCCAGAGCGTGCTTTCATGTGTTAGTGTGTTACCTTCCATTATTGAATTTCACAACTCGAAAGAGGTAGCTCTTTTAAGAGTGCGAGATTCCAAATTACAGTGGCATGGCGAAACCACCATCTGTAGGAAGAACTTTTTCATGCAACTCAATTATAAATTAGTTAAAACTCAATATGATTCTAAAATACTGAAGGTTTAATAAAAAAGAAAAAAAACAATGTCATATTGTAACTTTGAGTTAAGTGTGGGAAATTTAAAAAAATAAAAAAATTATTTCTCATGATATATTTCATATATTTCATCATCAGATATAAAAAAAATATAAAAAAAATAAATTAGTAATTGAATTTTAGTGTTTTACCATCCAACAATGAGCTGCGGGGCCTTAGGTTGGGCTTCAATTAGAACGGGTTCAGAAAGGTTGCCATCCAACCTATCTGTAAAAGACGAGCATCTTAATTTTTGAAAATCTAAAATTATGGTCCAGTCCATGTGCCCAAAACCAACCAAATACAGCCCCAATAGCAGCTGTGTGGACACAACATCTTATACAAGCCAAGAGAAGAATCACAACTAACGCAGCTCCCCCCGGAAATACAACAAACAACAACGCACCAAGTATAGGTTTGCAAAAATCCACCACAGTTGCATAATACAAAAACCTAACTAAATGGTGACAAACTTTACAAAGCAGGATATCCATGATTTTAACCTTTCTCATCTGGCAAATCTAATAAGTGCAAAATCTCTTTTGAAGTAAAATCAGTGTAGAAAAATGCAGAAACCAAAGTGGCAAAGCCTTGAACTGCCAAGTATAGAGCATGAATTACTTATTTGCCATTTATGTATTCAAGAAGATGCCGATCAAGTTCAAAATGATGGGCAAGAAGTCTCTGCAAGTAAAGAAAGCATGAATGAAGAATAAGATGAGGTTTTGAGATATTTGGATTAAGCATTAACAAGACCTAGACATCTACTTTAGAGTTTAGAATTAGGAAACTTATCATTGAGCTTGCCCTAGTTTTCATCTTAAAGATTCTGCACATGTGATGGACAGAGACATGATAGCAGTATTTTTAGGTGACAAAATTCAATAGCTTATGGAAGGGAATTGAGATGGTATATTTATAAACTATTAAAATCTAAGACTTCTTCATCTTCTTTAGCTAGTACAAAGAACAATAAGGTATTCCAGCATTCAAATTAATATGAAAAATCAGATTTTATAAACAAGATACCATCTGAGCCATAAAGTTTTTCAAGAAAAAAAAAATACCTTAGTTATGGGAGGATGAGAAGGTTTTACTTCAAAATTGAACTCTGGAAAGCGTGTGACCTCAGCTGCATTCTCAAACAAAATATATGTAGGAAGTTGGCCCATGTTCCCTAAACAGGAAGTGGTTAGGATGACTTTCATTGAACAAAAGAAACCAGAAAGAAATGGAATAGCTTAAAACTAAGATAACTTACCACCGAGAGAGATTCCAAATTTTTCTGCAGCATTTGGGAAAAGTCCAAGATCAACTATTCCAAAAGATAAATTTTTGTTTGAATAGCTGACAAAGGGAAACAATAAGTTACTTAAAAACCAGTAATAACAGCAAACACAAGCAAGAGGAATAGTTTTGGAGAAGTGACATACGTGACTGAGAGTTCGGGAAAGACCCGACTAACACGTATGCAGCTGGAAGAGCATGAATTGCAGAACTCTACCTGCCAGAAGTATGTTTGTCATTCATCTAAAAGCAGAAAACCAATGGGAAAATAAAACTTCTTAAGAGATGATATTTCAACAGTGAATCTTTTTCCTTGGTCACTAGAATGAACCTTCATTCTAGCTGTCAACATAAAACTCTAACCAATCAACAATACCAGTTTTCCTTATTTCTTCATGACATATAGCCAAATAGGTGCAAGTGTAACTAACTGCTATGGAAGGCATCATAACCATTTGTTAAGCAACAGAAAGGTGTGCATTCATATAACAGAAAATAAGTTTTGAAAATTAAGTACTCCAGAACAACCAACCAGCCAAAATCTTGATGTGTTCCCTTCTGTAAGAAGGGTTTCCAACTGCAGAGGTGTTAATTTACTTGAAGTACCTACAAGTTCAATTCAAAAGAAGACAAAGCATTCTATCATGTATTGTATCAATTCATTCTGGTAATTGTTATAAGGAAAGCCAAATAGGTAATTGTTAATTACCTAGCTCTGAACACGGAGGTTGTTGAGATAAAACATAAATCACTGCCAAAAAACCCAAAATGTCATAGTATCTTCTCACAATATACCAAGAATAACAAACACAACCATTTGCCTAATTCTGTTAAAAAATGGAAACATCTTGGGATGGGAAGTTATTAAATTTCCAGATCATATTCTTTCTCATTATTCATGCATCTCAAAAACTTTACCAAAGTTGACATGGTAATGTAGAATGTGAGATATTAGTGTCTACCTGAGAAACCCACAATGTACCACAATGTCAAGTGGTAATCCATTATCAAAGTAATAGCAATAAGGAAAAGCTGAAAAACCAACAAAATAAAAAGATTAAAACAAAATCAGGTGGCTGTAAACACTCCTCCCTACACATTCAATATGCATTTTCTATCATCTCCCCTTTTAGTAAACAGATTAATCCTCACAGATTGAATTCAATAGTATAAGATGATATACAGTTTACCTTCCCGAAAAACAGTGTATCGGAAATAAAAGCCTCCCATGTTTCTTCTCTCACAAACTGTTGCCAACAAACAGAAAAAAGAATTCACTTCCAAATTTATACACTTTTCACCAGAAATTCATCAGTAATGAGATACAAATACTTACCTTGACTGTAATCAAAACCAAAAATGCTAAAACCGCTTGAATCTCCTAATCAATTCAGTAAAAACAAAAAAGGGGAACTCAGATTAAAGATTGTTAAGGTCAATTTCTGTTTGTAAAAAGAGGGGAGCAGGATCGCAGGGCTGAGAGGAATTACCCGGTAAAAGAGAAGTTGAGTGATTGGCGGAGAGAGGATGGAAGAAGCAGAGCTGCGGACAACGAAATAGGAGAAGAAAGCGAGGAAATGGAGGAGATAATATGGCTCCGATACTAGTTGATTCAGCAATTCCATTGGCTTACTTCCTTTCTTCTCCATTCTCTTCTAGTCTCCTGCTCTCTCTCCTTGAGTTGGATACAGTTCGGAATTAGGGTTTCGGAGCTGGATTTGCAGACGTTCCCGTTCGAATCTCAAGAATTCCGACTGCTTTCTCCGTCGTCGCCGTTTCCTTCTTTTCCCCTGTAGCTCAGGCGTTTTCAAGGCGAAAGTATGGAATAAGGAACCGAAATTGCACAAAATTTGCAATTCCAGACCCAAACTTCAAATACACTCAATTAAGGTCCCAAACTACACGAAATTTTCAAATAAAGTCCCAATTGGATGAAAATTAACTTGCCATCAAATGTCTCATGACTCTGATAATAATTTCCTTAGTCTCTTACCCAACTAGAATGATGATGTGGAAAAAAAAAATACTAAATTATCATTTTTAATCTACCTAAATCAATCCATGTGGCATCCACATGGATTAAAATATAACATGTTAGTATATCTCTTTTTCATGTCATCATTCCAATTGGGTGAGAGACTAATGGACATTAATGGAGTCATGAGACATTTGACTATAAGTTAGTTTTCAATCCAATTGGAAATTTATTTGAGAAATAGTGTATTTTGAGATCTTAATTGAACGTAATTGAAGTTTGGATCTAGAATTACTAATTTTTTGCAAGTTTGGGTCCTGATTCTATACTTCTGCCCGTTTTCAATGCTTCAATCCCCGAACTCAAAAAAGTCCAGTGGGCCCGCCGAGAGATGGCCCAATGATGGGCCATCATACAGTAACCATGAACGAAGATATTGGCCCAACTTTCGTTTGGATATCACACACAATCCACACATTTATTTTAGTCCTAAAATTTACAAATTGACCCAGTTGTACCCAACACTTCCTATTACTGACACTCAACACCCAAGCCACTGCTAACCACAAATGGCAAAAAAGAAAAGCATTTGTAATTATAAGCAATCAAGAAGTGCTTAAAACTTAAAAGTAGTTTGAATTTGGACATTTATTTTTTAATATGTCCCCTCACACAACGCTTGCTGGTTAGAGGCAGCATCCTACACGAATCCTACAAAAATCCTATTAGGATTTTCAAAATCAGATCACAAGCTCAAAGACTTTGACATCAAATCAAGAATCATTTCGTCTAAAATTTCATTTGCAAGCTATTAGGTGAAGGCGAAGGATTTGCATTAACAAGGACCTTTTAGTTGATTTTTCTTTTTTATTTTTTCCATTGAATTGGCAACAATAAAAATGTATTATGTAATTTAAACAATATAACATTTATTATTTTTTTTTTCGTATTTGTACAATGAGAGACAATCATCTCTTATCTCTTATCTTATCTTACTCACATGTTATGCTACTTGAATTTAGATTTTCTTAATGAAAACAAATAACTACTGAATTACTTAAATCGTTGAGATATAATATTTATTATTAAATAATATATAAGTCTCTTAATATTAAATTATTCTCTCATCTAATAACTTCTATTTTATTATTTAATGTAATTTAATTGCTAAAATATGAAATCTTTTGTGACAAACTTAACCTTGAAATACTTTTTACCCGAAAATTCATGAAGCACTTGATTTTTATTTATTTTTTATTTTTTGGTGGAGGGGGTTTGGTGGGGTTGGGGGGCAATCAAGTACTTGATGGGTCGACACACATGGGTAATGGTGCTCTTTCTTGTGTTGAAGGAAAAGATAAACGTAAGCAAATGGGCTTGTCATGGAAGCCTGTCGGGCTGACCCGGGCCTTGCTTTCAATTCAATTCATGCAAAAACAACTTTCACTTTCAAAAGCTACAAGATCATTCTTAATTAGCTTAAACGCCACCGTTTCTACTTGCTTTTGCAATGCACGTTCGGGGCATGATTTTGTCATTTTCCTAATTGGTTGAACTCCCTATTTACATCTATATATTTTTTCTTTCCATAATCAACATTTTAAATTAATTTTTGTTTTAATCAACTTTTTTTATAATTTAAAATTTATAAAAAAATTCTCATATTACTAATAAAATTATAATATAAATAAGGAGATTCACCAGAAATTTAAAATATAAATAAAAGATTTAATTGTTAATTTTAAAATTTTTAAAATTTTAAATAATAAAAGATATTAAATATGATAAAAATAAATTAAAATATTAATTATATATAAAAAAAAAGTAAAGTGCAAATAGCTATTTCGCCTTCCTAATTCCCAAAGCAAAAGGAGGAAAGATCATTACCACGTGACTTGTCCCATGGGCGGATAGAATGCACGTGCACTGTCCAAGACTCAGCTGGCTCTACGGCACGTGCTCTCACGTTATCGTGATTGTAGACTAATGAATGAAAGGAAATATTATACTGACAATTGTAAACAAATGAATTAAAGAAAATATTATAATTCTAATACTAGTTAAAATTATAAATTTGTAATATGTTATTATAAACTTAAAATTTTATTGAAAATTTTTTTAAATAATATTATATATTTATTTATGTAATATAATATTATAATAAATAATAAAATAATATTTATTCGTTTTACTTTATAATAATTAAAAATAATATTATTTTAAAATTATATTATTTTAATAAATATTTATTAAAAAAAATTAAAATATTTTATTTTTAAAATATAAATTAAAGTATTTTTTTTCTTAATTTTTTAAAAATAAAATGAATAAATACTAACTTTAATAATTAATTTATAATTTTATATAATTTTATAATTATAATATTACATAATCAGTGAACACTTATCATTAGTTGGTCGACGCATCTCAGAAAAGTGAAAACACCACCGTGGATTCTCACCACGTAGCATCAACCACCGTCAGTTCTGGCTTTTAACACGAGCTA